TTTTTGGTACAATACTCACCGAAATTGTTTGAGATGTCGTATTTGAAGTTCCTAATGGAAGCTACAGCCTGTGACAGAAAATTGTCTATGCAGGTCCAGGTCTTCGTAGAGCTCCGATATATCGGTACCTCCCTATATACGGTATTTTGATGATTTTAGCTACATTATTCGCCGTTTATTTCAAGTTTGGAATTTGAATACGTCGTATAGACCCCAATAAAATTTTAACAAAATTTTTAACGGAATTTATTTTTTGAAAATGTTCAAATTCGTTCCAAATGATGGAGGGTATTCAAAATTCCGCACTGTTTTCTAACTTGTCTATATTTAAAGTTCGAATTTCCCATAACACTTTGGCGCCTCTTCCCTGCACTCCATCTATTTTTCTCTCACTCTCATTCTAGATTTTAGAATTCCAGCTCCATCGGTTCGGCACAATTTCGATTTTTACCAAATTTATTACCATTTAGTACACATAAGAACGAATTTCCAAAGCTTCCTACACACCCCAATTCCGAATTTTAGGATTCGACCCCTGTTGGATAGCTCAAATACAAATTGTACTTTATTTAGTACATATAAGTACAAATTTCACCTACATATGCTAATCCTAAAGAACGACTATTGGTTCACCCAAATTCAAATTGTACCAAATGTAGTACCATCTGGTACACATTTTCATAACTACATATATTATACAGCCCAACAGAAATCTTGTTTCTAAATTTCAGAATTCGGTTTACCCAAATCGAAATTGTACCAAATCTAGTATCATTTAGTGCTTTTCGTGCACATAATAACAAATTTCGAAGACTTCCTCCACATCCCAATCCTACAATTTGCCAGTAATGATGATTTAAAATTTGAGGATTCCACCTCTATCCGTTTCTTCAAATTCAAATTGTACTACATTTAGTACCGTTTACCAAAACTACCTCCTTAGATCGACTCTTTTCCAAATTTCAAGTTTATTAGCTCTAACCGTTCACATGATACGAAATGGTACTAAATATTGTAAATTTTATACTTTTCGTACACTTATAGTACGAATTTCCAAAAGTCCTTTTCTACATTCTCAAATACAACGGGGACCATATTTAGTACATTTTAATTGTTTTTGTACCGTTCTAGTACAAATTTCCAAATTTCCCAGCCTTATCCGACTCCTTCGGACCAAGAGTGACACTGACCCAAAATTTCAATTTCAAGATTATAGCTTTAGCCGTTTCATCTGGACGTTAATGAAGTCATTCAGTCAGCCAATTACGGCAGTCCTTTATTGATATAGGTACTACAATATTTCCCAAAATGCAGGTTAGCATTTCACTTCGGATACGGAAAGTATGAAGAAAAAATGCAACAAAAAGTACCCCACATTCTACTAGGTTTGACATCATACCACTACCCCACCCCCTTCCACTTCCACTTCATTCCGTATTTTGAAATCATTGATAAGGCCATATGTATGACAATACTAATGACGGCAGTGAACCGGGGCAACCTCTTTTTTTAACCATTATCACCCAAATATATATATATATTAATACATACATATTTGTTATCAGCAGTAAATGGATTTTGAATATATCGAAATACCTCAACATCGAAATATGCTCGTGCATCTATCTATCTATCGACACAGCTTTTGGTTGGTCTAAATATTTATTATCTCATGGATTGCTGTCTGTAATTGTCCCGAAAACAGAAAACAAACTGAGTTTTTTTTGTTTCCATCCATTACCTATGTCATTGTTGTTATCTTGGTCTGGTTTCGTCTGTCGGTCTGTTCGACTGACTGACTGCAATTTCATTTAGCCGGTTGTCACTACAGCTCTTTTGGTTACCGTTTACCTTTACCAACATGCTTGAAGCGTTCATTTACATTTGTGGTCTATATCAGCGTTTATTAAACTTTCGTTTTCCCTACTTTATTCGTTGGCTTATCTCTAAAGTGCTGTCGCACAAACACACAAACTATTTACAAACCAAATTACCAGCAGCGAGCAAAAAATGCCACACAACAGAAAAAAGTTCAATACTTTTTTTGTTGTTGTTATCGGAGCTGCGGTTGGTCGAGTTTTTCTGATGTGTCAGTACTTCTTTTTGCTCGTTTGCTTAGTTGTTTGTAAAGTATGGCAAGTAGAAAATTATTGTGCGGTATGCACAAAATTCCAACCTGAATGTGACTAAAACAGAACTTTTGCCTCAAACCGAAGTTCTTTACTCTTCCAATATCCCCTTGGCTCCCCTATTTTATGGTATTTGCTTTTTTGGTATTGTCACATTTTAGTTTGTGGTTTTTGCTTTGGTAATGAGATAATTGAGAGTTGTCATGAAAAATGTTTGGTAATTCGAAAAGAAGAAGAAGATGTCCCACCACTGAAAACTTTTTGAGATTGTATTGGACTGATATTTTCCTATCGGAAAATTGTTCAAATTGGCAGAAGTTTATAATTAAGGACAACATTATCGAATTAACTGTCAAGTAACCTACTTTTAACATTATCTTATAAAGGAGCAAGAAGAGTGTAAGACTGTTTGTCCTGCATAGGCAAAACAAGGATACAAGGAAGAGGGAAAACAAAACATCTAATGAAAATATGTCTTAAAAATAAGATTATAAAATATCCTTGTATTGAGAAAGACCGAAAAGGTTTCATTCTTTTTGACTTATTTTTAAAGATAATGTTTTGATTTATCTTTTCAAAAATAGTTTTTTGAAATTGGAGCTGGAATACCCAGCACTAAATTGCATTTCATAATAATGGCTTTATTAAGAACATTTTGCCCATTGTAACCGCTTACAGAACCGCCTTCCGATCCTTACTTTGAGATGTCAATAAATGCATATCAAACTGTTACTAAGGGACGAAAACAAGCAGTTCAAAAGCATTGGTTCTATGTAAAAAGACCTAATTTTTTTATTTATTTATCTTGTTAATGAAGAGGATGAACTCGTGATCTTCTGATTGGTATTTGAGCAGCCCATGTACCCAATGCACTCAGCTACTGTTAAAATCATTAAATGTTTTTAACTGTTAAGATTATCGAATGTTTATGGCCACTTTTTTGTGCGAGGGCAAACTCTCTTTTTTTGTAGCGAACGTGCCCACGTTGTGCCGCCATTACTAATTACTTGGTATGATGAAAGTAAGCTATTTTACCATGCAAATTTTATGGGAATAATTTGTTATGTTTGATAATTTATCTTTAAAGTTGAGCTATCAATGGCATTAAAACATTGGAATCCAGCGAAGACTTACGAATGTTTTTTGCTTACTGGTAATGCAAAAGGTATGAAGCTGTCATTATTTTAGATATTATGGTAACGCAGGGGGTATTTGGTTGTCTCAACTAAAAATGCTAAATGAAACACATACTCTTACCAATTTTTTTTTGGTCGATTGCTAGCGCGTGGAGCTGGAGCAGCTATCTTTGGAAATGTAGTCACACTTGCACACTCTGTGCAGCAGTAGCTCATTACTTCGAATTACAATTTAAATGATTCAAAATACAATTGGAATAATTCGAATTACAAATAGAATTCTGAAATTAGAATTTAAATGTTTGAAATTATATCTGAACAAGTTAAATAGTATCAGTCGGTTTTGCCGACAGATGTATACCCCCAACCTTGAGTTATGGTTATTCTAACTATTGCCCTTTTATGGGGGCGTTCCGAAGCAGTTGGACAATATTGACCAATTCGATTAAGCACATATTCATATCAGATTTATGGTTAAGAGAAATATTTAGAAGTTGTATAGAATCGCCGACTTGTCTCGCAAGTTATGACAGATATAAGTTTTGGAAATTGTGACCCTTCGTAGTTGAGGTACCAGAACTGGTTGGCAGATATCTATCATTTTCATCACAGATTTGGCATTAGCAAAATGTTGGATATGTGTAATTTGAAGAGAGTTGGATGCTTATTTCGAGTTTTAATTAGCGTTCTGTTTTTTAAAAATGTGAATCCTTAAAGGGGCAGTTACAGAAGGAGTGCGCCGATATATCTTATTTTCACAGCAGATCTGGTCTTAGTAAAAATAATGGTGTGTGTGAAATTTTATGAGACCTGGATTCTTATTTCCGATTTTATGATCGTATTGGTTGTTTAAAATTCTGACTCTTTGTGCAGGAGGTGCCAGAAGAAATGGTCCGATCTCTACCATCTTTATAACAAATCTTGTGTTGATAGAAATTTTGAGATGTGCCAAGTCTAAATGGAATCGGTTGTTAATTTCGTGGATATTCAAGATTTTGACCATTTGTAGGGGAGGTAACAGAAGGAACCATCTTCACACCCGACCTTGAGTTATGGTCTACTCGTATATACACCATCTAGCTCAATGGCTCAGGGTATAAAAAGGTTTTTGCTAGATGTGGGAGCGAAAATTACAAACAGCTATATTAGGTTTTATAGTCTAAATAAAAAAAAAAAAATATATATATTTTTAAATTTTATAAAAATAATTCATTATTCGTATGAAGATGTCATTATTTTTGAGTTACTGTTAATGCAGAGGGCATGCAGTAGTCATTACAAGTAATGAAGGAGGCGGCACTTATGTCAACCACATTTTTATTTAAAATTGAGCAGCATTTTTATATTCTTCATCAACCTATTGAAGCTATATTTAATTTGTCATTCTCAGTCGCAAAAAAATCATTTTAAAACCAAGGAAGTACATATCTATATTTTAAAGTTCTAAATTAATTTAGCCAAGTACCAAAGCCAAGTTTAAAGATAGGCTATACAGGTTCACATCAAGGCACCCATATAAAGATATCGCTGATTTGACAGAAGTGATTAAAAACATGTAATTTCCGCTCTAAGTAAGTCGAGAACCTTTATACAAAAATAGAAAATGTTGGTCGACATATTGATAGGTCGGTAACGCCCGATTTAGGGACTCTTGCAGGTTCGATCAACTCCGTATGAAAGAAAAGACCAAAAGTCCAAAACGCGATCGGGACGGTTTAAAATTTAGATACTCAGGCATGTCACAGAATGTAAAATCGTTCAAGAGTGAAAACGAAAACGGTTTTAGCTTCTCTAAAAAACGGAAAACGCAAAAATTTTGCGTTTTGATATCACTTTCAAAAAGCGGGGTGAAATTGAAATGTTTAGTGATTTTAACGTAAAAAATAAACAGAAGACACATACATTTAACAGAAAATATTGTATTAACCAAATTCTCTTAGAATGAACATGTTTTTGGAATTTATTTTACAAAAAATTTTTCTAATCCATGATGAAAAATAATAAAAAGGACTTGCGAGGAACTGGTGGTGGTGATATCAATCAATATGTTTTCAGTGAACACGAGAACAGTTTAATCAGAATTTGCGGATTGTATAAAAGTGTCGATGGAGTTGGTGGTGCAGTAAGCTTTGCGGATTTTGTAAGTTGTTGTTCAGTTGTTCTGAAAAAGAAAACTTTGATTCGTCATCATCTACACATATTCCAAGAACTCGAAAATCAAGTCAATTAGTTTTAAGTGAATCTGAAAACGAAGAGCTTAATTTTTCACCCTCAACTTCAAAGCAGACCACTTCGATTTTAAATAAAAAAGATAGACCAAGATCATGCATTCCAGCTGCTTTTAAAAATGTTTCTACATTGGCAATTGATCCAAGAACACCAACATTGGAAGAAAACCGTTCGCGAACACCTATTCAAAAACGACTTAGAAATAAAAGCTTATCGTGTTCTCCGCCATCTACACCAATAAGACAAGTGTCGGGCAGCCTAACAAAAGCAAAACCCACGCCTGCAGTAAAAAGACCCCGGGCAAGAACTCCCTCAAAGCAAGATCTAAATGCGCTTTTAGTTGAGGAAAATTCTCATTTACAAAACTTGGAAAAAATTTGTAAAATTCTAGAAGGTAACAGTAAGGAAATGAAAAAACAAACTGAAAAGTTGGACAGACTTTGTAACATCCTGGAAAAAAGTATGTGGAAGAGCAGTTACATAATATTGAAATGCAAAAGAGAATGCGTGAACGGAACGAAATGAAAGTCAAAATAGTTGAACTTGAAACTCTTAAATAAGCTGTAGAACAGGAAAAAGCAAATACGACTCGTTCTTAACTTTACATTATTTTACACAATGGACTAAAAATGGTGGATCCTTACTCTGCATTTGAGTGAGATAAAGGATCTGATGCGTTCCTCAATGTCCGGCGACGAATTTTTTCAGTAGACCGCTGATTTATTCATTACATCATCATTTACAGCAAGTATTGAAGCCCCTGGCATTTTTACTTTTGGTGTTTATATTATAAAAAACAATTCAAACTCCTTTTTTAATTGTCAATAATTTGTTTACGATTTTTTTTTTTCATGGAGTTACCATATTTTTATTTCAAAAATGTGAAATGATTTTTTTTCCGGATTAGTCAAAACGTTCGAGTGCTGAAGAAGCAAAAGCAAATCGTAACGATTTGGATAAGGTGAAATAAATCGATTTCGTAAAACTTCTGTGACATGCCTGACTGTCAAGGTTTTAATCATATTTCTTAAATGGATTTAACTATAATTTGGTGAACTCCAAATTATAAATTTTAGAGGGTTGAAGGTGGTTCCCGTAAGGGTTTGATGGGTTGTGACTTCTTTTTTACATGAAATTGACCACATCTTATTTTATTTCTCTTAAGCTTCTTTACTTAAGTTACCATGAATGACAACATCTGTTCCACTGAAAAAAGGTTATTAAATAAAAAATTAAAAATTCTACAAAATTTAAATGATAGCCCTCATTTTATTGAGGCACTTCATTTAATATTCCATTAATATTTTTATCGCCCCCCGCCTGTCATGTAAATTTTCATGGCATTCAAAACAAGTCGTGTAAACAGCAACAGCAGCAACCGCATATCGCTTGTTCATCCACTAAACCCTTATGGCCGTGGTAAAAGCCACATAATCATTTTACCATAATAAGATTACTTGGTGAACAGAGTAATGAGCCGGCCCTTAATAATTTTCATAGGAAATTTTGTTCTTTTGTTGGGGGGTTTCTCTGCAGCGAACCTTTAAAGTTTATTTTCGTTTTGACACAAGTCTATAAATAAGTTGAATAAGTTAAATAAGTGTGCCAATTTCCCAATATATCAATTTAGAGCATAATTTCCAGTAGAAAAGTTGTGCTGCCTTGTCTTCTCTTTTTGGTTTTTGGCTAAATGTCTAAACAATTGACATACATACATTTAAGATATAACACCCACATTCAACACGAAATGTCATCACTGTAAACAAATGGGATTTGTCTGTTTTCCCCGCTTTTCTTTTCATTTTTTTTTGTGACGAGGGCGGAATGACGCCCTCGTTGGTGATATTCTTTCATGTCCATGACACACTGAGCAGCCAGAAAACAGTGAAAGTCACTGAAGTGAAGTGAAATGAAGTATAGGCCCTGTAATGATTTTAGTTCTACTTCATTAAATTTTATTAGTCATAAAGAGCACTGCTGTAGAGAGCCAAGTTACTTCGCCCTGCCACTGCTGATGCAAATATCAAAGTGATTATCATGAAATAACCGAGATTTTGTTCTTTGCGGTTGTTTGCCCTGAGAATTCTTGAATTCGTAATGTTGTCGGCATTTTTAAAATTTTATTTCAATTAAAGAATCATTTATCGACCATAAGCGTAATCTGCGTTGGAGTTCAAGTTTGTTTTTAAGTGGAATGGTCGTCTCATCGGAAAACTTAATTGGATGTTTGGTTATCTTAAAGACTGTTTATGGTAAAATATACTTTAGTAATCTGGTATCCCATTATGAGTTACAATATTGCAGGGGCGTTACACACATTTACGCTAGCTAATGGCTAATAATATGCCGAGGAACTCGTAAAAATATTGACTTTGTCGAAGTCAATCGTCTTTGTTATTAAATCTTTTCTGGTATGGAGGTATTGGAATAAAAAAATTCGAAAATGTCAGGCAATCAAAAACTCATTACAAATCGCATTACTAACACATTATTTTAAAAAGCCCATGTCATACGAAATAAGTAGTCATTACGTAGCCACAAAAAAACCGACAACTACACAGATATTCCTTGCAGAATAACCGATTATGATTTAATACTAATATGAACACAGTTTTAGTCGGTACCCAACATATCCGACATATATCGACATATTTTATGCATCAAAATATAGGGTCGAAAATTGGCGCCCAAATACAATGTTCTTGCTTAACTGCACTGTCATAGATATACAAAATACAGGGGGCTTAATTTTATTTACCTGCAAAGATTACTTCGATTTTTGATTAAAAAAAGTATTGAAAATTATGACCCTTTGTAGGTGAGGTACCAGAAGGGGTTCGCAGATATATATTATCTCCACAATAGATCTTGTGTGAGCAAAAATGTTTGTATGTGTAAAATTTGAAATGAGAGTTGTGCTTCATGGATATTTAAATTTTGACCCTTTTGTGGGGGACGAGCCAGAATGAATGGATAGATATATCCCATCTTCAAGCGGATTTTGTGTTATTAGAAATAATGAAATGTGTGAAATATGAGGAGAACCGGATGCTTATTTCGGATTTTATAGTCGTTCAAAACTTTGACCTTTTGTGAGGGAGGTACCAGAGGAAGTGTTCGGATCTCCACCATCTTTATAACAGATCTTGTGTTGATGGAAATTTGAGATGTACCAAGTATGAATGGAATCGGAAATTAATTTCGCGTTTTATGAGCTTCATGGATATTCAAAATTTTGACCCGTTGTGGGGGAAGGTACCACAAAGAGTGGACCGATATATCCCATCTTCACACCAGACCTTGGGTTAATAAAAATATTGTGATGTATGTAATTTGAATACAATCGGACTCTAACATCACAAATTACCGATATTGTAATTTTTGCACCTGACCAAAATATCACACTGATGCAAATATATTAAGATTTACAAAGTTGAATCAAAGCCGGAATATTCTTTCTCTTTCTGTGCAATAGAATATACATATTTTTTTTTGGAAATTTCGACCTTTTTTGGGGGAGGTATCAGAAGGAGTGGACCGATATTACCTATTTCCGAACTCGATCTAAGTTTGATAATAATATTACAATGTACCAAGTTTGTACCAAATCGAATACTCCAGTTGGACGGACGGGCATCCCTAGATCGACAGCAAGTGTCCTGGAACGGATTTGGTCCAAAGAGACCTAAGGTCTAAAACCGTTACTTGATGAGACATGTTTTGGCAGTATCAAATGATATATATACCCTCTCTAACCATGTGGCTGAGGGTATAAAGATGTTGACTAAAATGTTTTGTGGGCCAGTAAAAGTCAAAATGCGGTTATGAAAATTGCAGGTAAAGAGAAATAACTGTTCTTCAGGTTTTAGCACATATTCGACTGCCGCTGAAAATATGCGATGATATTGACAGCGTTTAAACCATCGAGATTCAGATTCCATTTTACGTTTCAACCCAACTTCAGATACTTTTTCAGCAGATTGGTATTGAAACGGAATCAGTCGATCCGCATTATTCATAGCTTCATAGCTAGATTATATATCCATAGTTTGAACGTAAGTTTAATGGTCGTTCTACATTTTTCATATTATAAGATAATACTTACTATTTGTTTTTGTGCAAATTATGGCGATAGCTGCATCTAAATTTTAAAAATTCATAGAGGAGAGCCAAACAATGTTTGTCAATAGCATGGATTTTCACTGATGGCGATAAACAATGTATCTTTTGGGCCTTCCACTATCCAAAACCTATGGACCTTTCAACCATTTGCTTCCTTTAAAGCTTTGCTATTGGAGAAACATTTATAAATCAATGCGGTTGTACTTTGCCAGTTTTGATAAAAATATTACAAAATGTCGATTTTTTACAATTTTTGATTTGACTTTGAAAAAAATTGCCTAACTGACTTAGAATCGAATTTTGACGACTTAAAGCTTTCGTTGCTGTTTCCAGCATTATAAAATTACTGATGGCAATGCAGAACTCGTCGAAGCCCCTATGAAAGAAAAATAAAACATGAATTAGGAAATTCGATTTTACTCCACATCAGTTTTTGACTTCTGATAGAATCTGATTCCTAAAAGGATGAGGATATTGCCACATTATGAAACAGATTAAACAGTAAGCCGACGTTTGTGATTCTTAGCGAAGTGATAAATTTATTGTGGAAAATTAATTATTTATACTAACCCCTCCAACAGATAACATGCGATTCCCGTCAGCTTTAAGTTGATAAAACAATTTCCACCCGTTTTTGGATAAATAAAGGGTTAAATCCCCCTCCATCCTTCCTTTTTTTTATTTAAAAAATATAAATTCTTTGCACCCTCGAAAGTGAGTGATATTTGAGAGATAAAAAAAGTATTTTTCCACAGCTGAATGAAGTAAACATCCATCAAAATAATTGCAAAATTATTACTCTCATAATAATGGCAATTATTTGCTATTACTGACAATTCATCATCTACATTTTTATTTTTATTTCATTATTGCCAGCCATATTTGCCAATTCAGAAAGCAAAATGTGTGATTACACGCTTCGCTTTTGATTTGTGGCAATTTGGATTGTGAGTGCTTTCAACGCCAAAGTTCGATTAATGATAGGGAGAGAGATAGGAGGAAATCTAGGTTTTTAAACTTTAATTTTCAAGACTAATTTATGGGTTGTAGGCCGCTTTTTTTTTTTTTTTTTTTGAAAAAAAAAAAAAACATTTTCTTTTAATTACACACAATTTGGTTTACACTTAAAAAAATTCAGAACTAGAATGCCATGCCCTCGAAACATAAAAAGCCACTGAAACGCAATCTTAAAGAAGAACTCAAGCAGAACCATGTCGGTCGGTCGGTTGGTTGGTTGGTTGGTACGTAAGTATTCCACGTTGCTGAGGCTTATGAGCCAGAGCTTTTGCCGTTTTTTCATCATTCAGTCAATTTGTTTAAGTTTTAATATTTTATTTCCTTTTATAGTCATAATTATTTAAGAGTTTTTTTCATCATTATTTCATTCCGAAAGCCATCTTCCAGCAATGTATGAGTTGTGGCGCCCAACGAATTCATGTCTGAACTCATTTCAGATGAATCTGTTTGCTTTTCGGTTTTTTTTTTTCTGTTTATTTTTCATTTCTTCTTGTATAGAATACCGAACGTAAATGAAACCCCAAAAACAGGAACAAAAACCTGCGTTATGTATGCTGTGAGATGAGGGCCTCCGGGCAAAGTAAAAAAGAAAAAAATACATACAATATAAATATTGCAAAAACTTGAATAAATATTGAAGCATGGCAGCCAACTCAAATGAATGTAGGAACGAACGGAAAAAAGAGGACATTGCAAAATCAACAATATCAGGCATTTGCCCCCAAAAACCATGCGGCAAAGAGGTCACACAGGGGTTAATGCATTAACATTATTAAAACACAGTTTTAATCAGCTGCCTAAGGCAGTGGTTTGATGCATCTTATTTTTTTAATAAGAGTCTTGGTGTGTTTTGAAATAAGGTGATGGCCTTTTCGATTGATAGTGTTCCCGAATTCACATTCACCAAATGAATTCCACTATCACGAACATTATTACCAAATTCAAATTGCCATTCGAATCAAGAATTATCAGTTCTTTATTGAGCCATTTAATATTGATTAATATACCGGACACATAAATATTGACTCGAATAATAATTAGTTTGTTAGTTGATCAATGATAAGAGTGAAAAAGAACAAAAGCTTATGTTGAGCCAAACAAATCGATCAAATAAATAAAATATGAAAAAGCGAAAAAATCAGACGTGTGCGGTGCTCACACACGTTTGTTAGAAATTAGCAATCATATTTTCCCAGAACTAACATTTTGTGCGCCGTATTTGTTGAATGATGGGTACCTTATGGCAATGTTGAGATCATAAAAACCATTTACAATTTTTCGGTTATAAAAGGGTGTTTTATGTTGATCATTTGGCCAAGTTTGTAAGGAATTTTTGGAGTGCCTTACTTAGATAAAATGATCAATTAAAACACTAAATATTGAAATGAACTTCCTCAGAGAAAAGTTTCAGGAAGGTACTCGATGAAATAATATAAAATTTTCCAAAGGAAATTATCAGATAGTTTTAGATAAATATCCTTCAGTTCCCTATCGCAATTCTTAGGAAAAATCCACAACTCACCAATTCAATGTTGTATTCAAATATCCATGGGAAGCTTCCAGATCAAGACGCATAAATTCCAAGAAAGGATGTGGCAGTTTTTTTTTGTTATTAGAATTAGCTTTCATTTACAGAGGAAAATTAAACACTGTTCAAGGGAAGTGTTGGTTCATTCGCTTCTTAGGCAATACTATATATCTTCTGAACAGATTTTTTTTCTCGAACGGTATAAAGAAGCGTATCCAAAATTGGTTTGTTATATTTCTGGCATAAAAACCAAATCAAGTATGGAACACATAAGTTTATGAAATTATGGGAAAGGTAGCAGTAAAAATCAACCTAATTACCTAGATTTTAAGCAGTAAGGGCAAGGGTACACATATTTAGATACCCTACACCACGTAGTGGTAAGGGTGTTATGTCTTTCTGCATTTGTTTGTAATATGGAGAAGAAAGCCGGATAGAACCGTAGGTACTTTTGAGGATCGCAATAGAATCACTTTCTGAGTCGATTTATGCATGTCAATCCCTCCGTCCGTCTGTCCACGTATTTTTGTGAACAAAATGCAGGTCGCATTTATTAGCCGATTGAGATGAAATTTTCCAAACATCATTTGTTTGGGCCAAGAACGAACTCTTTTGAAATTGGTGAGAATCGGTTAAAATTTAGATATAGCTCCAATTTATAGCTTTAACCGATTTCGGGTTAATTGTGCAGCAAATGGCCAACATCAGTCCAGAAGAAACCTTATTAAGTCTAGAAGCAACCTTATTCAGTCTAAAAGCAAGTACATCAAATTTGGTGAAAATAGGTTCAGATATAGCTATATCTCCGATATATATGTTTCATCCGATTGGTGTCCACCATATTTGTAATATGCACTCCACAAAAATGATATTTGGTACCAGATATCAGATACAGCCAAGCAATATTTGTTTCAAATTTTATCGAGATCGGTTTAAATTTATATATAGCTCCCATATATGTCTTCGGCCGAATTCACGTTTTTGCACCAGATGGTTAATATCAGTCCAAATGCAGTGAGTTTTGGCACATCCGACCGAATTTAGTCTAGAAGCAATTACATTAAATTTTGTGAAAATCGGTTCAGATATAGCTATAGCTCCCATATATATGTTTCATCTGATTTTGTGTTTAAGTGCCTCTCTGCGCTGATGCCTAGAATTTTTGGATTGTGATCGGATGATATTTAGTTGGTGAAATAGACCACAATTTTGTGGAAAATAATACCGTTGATGAATGTAGCCAAATATCGGAGATACGGAAAACCATATAGAGGAATATAAACATAACACGACATAGGGTAAATGCTACGGAGATTTGCATCACGAAGTCATGTGGTCAAAAGCCAAGATGAAACTTTTGCAGGACGACTAGGTGACATTTTTTCAAGAAATAAATAACAAAATGTTTAATATGCATGGAAAATATTTTTGAATGTGAACCATCTGCTTCTTCATTCTATTGGTCCCAGATCTATGATGTCTATTTGAGAAGTGGAGCAATTTGGTTCAAAATTTGTTTTTATTATGTAGTAGATATGGGAATGTTTCTTAGTGGAATTCTGATCAGCAAAAACTTTACCGCAAATTGTAGTGTTGTAGGGTATCAAATGGTCTGTCCTAACTTACTTTAGTCTTTGCTTGATATTTAATGTGTTTTAGCCATAACTTCCAGAATCCATGGTGGACAAAGGTCTCAAAATGTCTATATTTTGAAATATGAACACATGTTTCGGAATGTCGCTCATTTAGTAAATTGTGGAAGGAATTTTGCTGTGTTTTAAACGTGTTTTATTGCAATTCCACAGCTCATTTTAAAGTTATCCGATGGTTGACTTTATAATAATATATTTTCCTACCTATGTATGCTTAATCGCTACATATCGATTTTTTATATTTACAATCTTTCGAATACTTCAAATAAAACAAGTAACGAAACATTTAGGTCGACCGGGACGAAGTTGCAACACCTTCCACCATTGTCTAAAGAAAACATTTTTAAATAAAATTATAAAAATTAAAGCGTGTTCCACTCTAAACTAAATTACCTGTGAGTTCGGCTGGAGCCATATGAGGCCATACCAAAACAGGAACCTATATAGACAATTTGCTACCACAAGAATGGCTATACATGCGAGTCTTAAGTACCAAATTTGTATCATTACCGAATATCGGTGAGTATCGTTATATGGAAACCGGTTACCTATATGGATAATGCTCTGACATCGGTAGAACCCATATAACCCGTAAAAATAACGGATATCGCGGAGTACCGTTATATGGGGGTTAACGAAAACTTATACCGATTTATCTCAATTTCAGTACTAACCATCCTCGATAGAATAGGAACTATCTTGTCAAATGTTTCCTTCGAATAATGTGAGCTGTCTCGCAATTTCAACAGACATAATTAAATTGGTTTAGAATTGTATGCTAACCATGAATATAGACATACTATATGGGGTCTTATTCAAATAGATTCAAACGACATAGGCATATTTTATAATGTTTTGCATATAGGGCATATGCAAAATATGTATAATATGCAAATATATGCAAAATACGCAAAAATATACAAAATATATGAACGTGAAGATGGAAGATGAAAAATATAATTGAACGAGAAAGAACCCGTCGTTACATGCAAAAAACCCTGAAGTTTTTATATATTATTTAAGTTTTTATTGTCCCCAAACTGTTGAACTTCTATAAAACTTTATTTAATGAAATACTTTAAATAACTCTCGAGGAAGCACCCCATCCGTATACCAGGCTGTGGGTTAGCATAAATCCTAACTACCCGACTTCTATCCTATTTTTAATTATTTTGTTATTTGCATACTTTTTCACATTTTTAGCATATTTTGCATATATTTGGCATATGTTTTGCATATTTTGCATGTGATCTCAAATATCATGAGTCCGCTTTACAAAGATTCGCGATTTATTTTATTTATTTATAAATAACACGTTTTATGAAAACATGTGAGATTTATATTTGAAATTCGAAACATCTAAATATCTATTCAGGTAAAAAAAAGATTTAAAAATGTGATTCTCACATCTATACTCTTTTCATTCATAATTCAAAACAAAAAATAATTAAAATATTTCCAAATTTATGGCCGGCACCACGTTGATCCGTCGTCTGTGATATTCGTTTGCCTAGTTCAATGACTCATTTCATGTTTTTTATACTTTGCTTTGTTATGATTTTCCACTTTTTGCCTGGTTTCGCGTTTATTATTATTAAGTTTTTTTTTGCAATTCATTTTTTTTAGGTTTCCCAGAAACAGCTTCTTTTCAGAGCGTGAAGCACAGTATTCTTAGACATTTCGTTGTTGTTATTTTTTTACAAAATTGAAATTGTAATTAATAAAAGAAATGTAACTCAAACCAATTAACTTGCCACAGAAAAAATAGTCTCAATTAATTGGAAATTTGTGGTGAAATAAGTGTTTCAAAAAAGATGGGCATCTAGTAGACTCACAAAATAAAGAAAAAAAAATATTTCAATTGAAAATTTTTTTTTTGGTGTCCCATTCAAATGAGACTTTTTTACGCAATTTAAGGCCAGCCGACCATGATCGACAGCAGCAACAGCGGCGGCAGCCGTAATTCAAATAAACAAATAATGCTGCTGCAGTACAATAAGAACAACAAAAACAAGAAATAATGTTTCTGGCGAATTGAAATACAATTCGAATCAAAACGACAACAAAAACAACATCTCGGACCCACTGGCTACTATATTGTTGGGGCCCGTCCAGTTGTTGTTGTTGTTACTGCTGGTTTTTTAATTGTTTGTTTGGCAGACGTCGTTGTTTAAAACAAACCAACCAAACAAACGCACACACACTCACATGGTGGTACTCACACTCGCTCACTCACACCTACATTGGTATTATTCACCACTGGGCAATGAATGCAATACAACCCAGCCAGCAAAGCTGGTTGTTTGTTATTGTTTTGTTACTACTCACATTCGATTCTGCAATGTATAAAATTTGTTATTTTTGTTGTTGTTGGTTTTTATGGCATTTAGTTGTTGTTTTTGTTTCTCAGCTGCTTTTTGGCACACACACACTTGTTCTCTCACACACACAAAGCTCACAATTTTAATTTTATTTTATTTTCCTTGAATGCGTTTTAAAGTTTTTTAAAAATTTTATTTAAAATATTTATTTTTTGGATTCTCTTTTTGTATTTTTTTTATTTTTTGAGAGAGAGGGATGGATAGTGGAAACTAGACTTTTTAATTCCAAACGCAAGGGACTTCAAAAATTGCAATTTCCGATTTCAACACTTTTTTAATGTAATTCAGGCAATTCAAGTTTACTTTGCACTTCACCGAGAACAACAATCGGCCGAAATTCACTCTTTTCCGATTCCAATCACTTCCAATGATCCCCAATTATTGGTACACCTTATGAAGGTTTATAATTCGAATTGAAACTTTTCAATATTAATTATCTTTTCATTCAAATTCCTTTACAATTCACCACTTTTATTTCCACAATAAAAACTATATTTCACTGAACATCATTCAAACTTTTCAAGTGGAAGTATCAACCGCCGCGCGTCCAAGAAAATTATGCGACAACACGACCCGTACACGTCTGTAACAAAAACACGAATGAGCCAAAACGGTTTGCGATAGCTCTCTTGGCATAGCTTTACTCCGCTATTTGCATTCCATTTATCAGTTATGTTCCACATATCCAATTTTTAATTTTTACTCTCTCTCACCAAGAAACACAACGGGAGAGCGAGAATAAACTTTTGCAAAACGTTGACGAAAACTCCAGAATCCAGCTTGCTACAAAAAGAAATACCTTCTATATTTAACTTTGCACATGCCACCGCTGCTGCATTTATTGCCCACTCCACCCCACCACGACCAGCAACTAAGCACCATCAGCAGCATTGCCGCATACAATGATGATGTGTGGTATGTTGGCGTTTCCTTTTCCGTCACCCACCACCACTAACAACAACTCAACAACCAAAACACAGCACAACATAAAATTCTAAAAATTCTCAGAGAGCCTCAATTTAGCTGCCTTTGCTCACATGGTGGTTGAATTCTACCGTGTCTGGCTTGTCGTATTGTTTCTATTTTTGTTTTCTTCTTTTTTGTTTTGATTTTATTTGTTATTTTTGTATTTTTCTTTTTTAACTTTATCCGTCTTTTTCTATACTCTCCCTCTCACCGTCTAGTTCTCTGGTTTGTGGATGTTAAGTTAAGCAAGTTTCGAGATACTTTGACATTCCAAAGATAGCATTAACTGTAAAAATTCTTTCTTTCTCCGAGTGGTTGCATGAATATTTCTCGCATGCGATAAATATTTCAAGCTTGTCGTGTGAGAATATAAATAATGCACACCATAAATCTATAGCATTGTGTGAAAATTGTAGGAGAATGGTGGATTGAGGGATTCCAAAACGATACGATAATTTTGTGGACACGTTAGAAAAATTGAAAATTTAAAATTTGAATCTTCTTTAGAGTTTGTATTATTTAAGAGGTACGATATGTGATTTTCTATTTCAACACAGTTTTTCAGGGAAAGCACTGAAACAGGAATTGTTAAGTTTCGCGTGACGATCACTGTTGATGTAAAGTTTGAGTTTATTTAATAATTTAATTAGGTAGTATGGAAATTACAAAATTATTATTTAATTGGGCTCAGAATTCAACATGATTTTCATGTGATTCTGATTTCTTACAACCTACATTAACAACTGCCAATATTTCAGTTCGGAAGAAAAATATGTGCAAAATTTGGAAAAAATCATCTATTTCACATTTTATATAAGTTGTAATTTTATTGTAATAATTTATAAAAATTGAGTTCCCTAGTGGGGGTAGTTGTAACAGAAGAGTAGACAGATATTATTTTTTTGCAACAGACCTAAATTTTATATCAATAAATGTTAAGATTATTAAAGCCTGTACTTAGTGGTAATCCACGTTTGATTCATTCCGAATTTTTAAATTTTAACCATTTGTGGGTAAGGTAGAGAAAGGAGCATTGAGGTGATATTTTAATTTTTCCGTATGTTTATTTCCTCAGAGGGTATATATCATTTAATAGAGCCAAAACGTGTCAAAAGTCAGCGATTCTACAAAACTTGCTATATATAAATATTTCTCTTAATCAGAAATCTGATATTAATATGTAATTTATCGGAATTTATGTTTTCGCATAAAAGTGGATATAAATGATCAATTTCCTTTAAATTTTGCACACACCAATATTTTTTATCTGTATCTGGTACCTCACGCATATTTTCAAAAACTTGCATATATCTCATATAAGGTAATATTTTTATCAGACTTATTTCTTTGGACAATATTGGCTCCCACTCTTTCGGAACCTCCCCCAAAAAGGGTCAACACTCACAACTCAAGGCCGAGGGTATACATCTATCGGCAAAACCGAGTGAATTTTAGTAGGGGAGTATTTTAGTAAGAGGTATTTACACTAAATCTAATATTTGTAGACATTTTTGAGATTTGTGAAAATAAAAAAATGGTGAATCATTTCGCGTTTTAGAGATACTAATTTTATACCCTCCACCATATTTCATAGAGTATATTAACTTTATAATTCCGTTTGTAACTCCTAAGTTTTGAACAAATTAATACAGAAAACAAACATGTTGCACATATGTGTGCCATGTTGGTTCACGATTACGTAAGCTCTCTTACAACTGGATCTCCCTATATTCAATATTTTGTCTTTAAGTCACATTTTCTAACAGAATTGTTTAAAATTCGGTGTTTTGAGTTTGTAATGGGTTCTACCACCTATGGCAGATCATTGTATATATGGGCCCACTTTTTCATACCTTCCGATATTCAGTATTTTAGGGATTTAAGCTACATTTTCTAACAGAATTGTTTAAGAAGTCCAATATTTAGTACCTCTCGATATTCTGATGATTTTAATCCCATGTTCAGCGGAATCGTTTACAATTCGATATTTAGAGCTCATAATGGGTTCTTCAGAGCGTTGCCTATATACGATTACGAGTTTACGTTTTACTAGAACGGTTCCTCTCGGTATTTGGTATTCTGATGATTTTAGCCACATTTTTCATTGTAATCGTTTACAATTCGGTATGTAGTAGTAATGGGTTCAGTCTTCTATGGTCGAAGAATGCTGGAATAGGCCCATGATTTCTTATATTACACGTAATTTTTTTGTCATTATTCACATTTTTTTAGATTTGATATTTTAAATCTTCAATAGATAATAGCTTCAGTGGAAAATCGGAAACGTAAAGTCGATAGTAACTTTACGTTACTGTTATATGTTATACCAACCAAGGTCACTGGCCAAAATAGAAGTGAGCACAATATTTAATTCCAAAACTTTTATTTTTAAAATTTGTATTTACTCCATGGTGAAGCGAATTTAGATTTTGGCATTTTTACTTGTTTATATTTCAAATCGAACGGAACTAACATAATTGGACGTGGATGTGACATCTCATTTCAAATCAGAGTGCCTTCTTTGACTTTGGCTCCAATTTAAATCCGTGGTCCTAAATGTGGTCCTAAATTGACAGACTTTATTGTAGTCAAAACCTCATCATATGATCTATAATTTAGCTTATTGGACAAAAGTAACGTGCATTATTAGAGGAAATTATATGTTGGAGCTACATCTAAATCTAAACCGATCTTAACAAAATTTGGCCTAGTTGTTTCTATGATGTATCTGCAATCTTGTATCAAATATGCAGGGCATATTACTACTTTGGGGACTTAAATACGAAATTGGATAAAACATATCGCACATTTACTAAAAGAGTGACATAATTAAAAAATGCGGTTTTTAAGTTCCCCTTCCTATTTTTTCTATCAATCTTACTTTATCTTTATATCATTTATTTCATCAAATTATATCTGTAGAACTCGTGCTGTTTTATTTACTTGGGGTCTGACATAAATCAAAGAGAACTTGATATGGAGTGTATGAAACACTTATAGCTACATCACTTTTTGCGCAAAAATGATTTTAATTCGGGAAATCAAATTTATATATAAAAAATAATATTAGATTTTCTCGAAACTGAATTTTTTGAGATGTGGACCTGTTTAAGTAAATGGTTGAAATGTATGACAGCTATAGTTATGTCTAAATTTTACCTAGTAATTTCGGTCGTATTAGACAAAAGTCATCCTATTTAGGCTGATATTACGCATTTGGGGGAAATATATATGGAATCTATATCCCAGTCTGGACCGATTTTAACCAATTTCAACAGGTTTCATTATTGGGAAAAAGAAAAAGCTGTTCAAAATTTTTTTTAATCGGTTAAAAACATACATTGACTTAAAATGCGATTTTATGGAGATAAGCAAAAGGCACTAGGGTTACAAATGCACAAGGATATAAATCCTATACCACAGTGTAATGCAGATTATACAAGAGAAATACTTTTTAAAAATATGTAATATTTTCAAGTATAATATGTTACTACGAGTATTCCCCAAAAGTTAATTCTTAAATTGTAAGCACAAATGCCTAAATAAAATACCCAAAGAAATGTAAAAGTATACAATAGATGATGTAAGGTCAGTACCAGTGGTCATTAGCCATAAACAACTACATTTTGTCATGCATATCATGGCAAGGGCCTACTCATTGCTATATGCTTAGGGAATAGAATTTAAAGTTTTCTACAGCTCATGCTCGTTAAGAGTAAAGTGGTAGTTTAGGAAAAAAGTTCTTATTTAGTTCTCTATTTATATTCAAAGACTAAACTGTTAAAATATTTAAGGTACAATTTTAAGGTACAAAATAAAAATTGTATTATGAACAAACCTGTTGCCCTAAAATCCTTAGAAGTCGGCGATAGCGTCGATTTAAGGAGAGAATATCAAAAATATTGTTTTATGGGGCATATACCAACTATTGGAACCAGACCGAACATTTTCAGAAATTACAAATAATTTTATGGAAAATTTTTTTAAACCAATGATTTTTTAAATATTCCACAGACCTATTTTATTTGCAAAGCTTTTTGTATACAGTAAAGGCAATATAATGGCCTTGAAAAGTTTGGCATAGAACAAATCCAGTTTGAATTGTCCCCCACCCAGACTGGCTATTAGACAGTAAAATTATAAGAATACTAGGAAATCCTACATTTGTCAAAAAATAAACTAAATTAGTGAAATTTGAAATTTACGATTATAGGGGGGGGGGGTCTATACACAATTCTCTTTCAGGGGGTAAAGTGCTCACAAAGAACAGCTTGTGTAGAATTTTAGACAATTCCGTTAAAAAATGTGCCTAAAATCATTAAAATACCGAATATCGGGGGTTACCGTTATATAGGCGCTATACGATATTGTGGACATATATAGAGAATTCTCTTTCAGGGGGTAAAATAGCCAAAACGAACTCCTTGTGTGAAATTTCTCTTTGAGGTGGTAAAGTGAATATCCTAATACCCGATGGCTCCCCAAACAAAAATCGTTGCAGAAACCATTTCTGTTGGACTTTCCATCATGAAACAGAATAGTTCGATGAGAAAAATATTCAAAATTCGAAGTTTTTTTCTCATGGTGCAGGGTATAAACAGATAAGTTATGCCTCCACACCATATTTACTTGTGCTCAATATGTTTTAATTTCTAGGCCCCTGACGGTTATTTCCTCCCCTGAGGATTATATTTTTAAAAAATTAAAAAAAAAATACGTTACACTAGAACATTAATCTTCATCTTCGAAAGTGTGCTAAATTATTAAATTGTGTTTGGAAAAAGACAAATTAAGAACTGAGATTAGTTGGCTATCGTTTAAGCGAAGAAACAGCTTTTAGGCTTTCGATTAGTCATTAGAACATGTAAACAGAAGCCCG